TCCCTCAGCTCTTCAGCTCAAGGCTAGCGCTCTACCACTTGAGCCACAGTGCCCCACTTCCTGCTTTTTCTGCGTATGTGGTGCTGAGCAATCGAACCCAGGGCCTCATGCATGCACGGCAAGCACTCTACCACTGAGCCACCTTCCCAGCCCCCTCGTGCTAGAATTTTTGAGATAGGGTCTAGGCCATCTTGGACTGAGAACTTCCTATTTATGCTTCCTACCATAGCTGGATGGCAGGCATGCACTTCTGCACCCAGCTTTTTTGGTTGTGAAGAGGGTCATGAACAATTTTGCCCAGGCCAGCTGGTTGAACTGGAATCTTTCTAATCTCCACTCTCAAAGTAACTGGGACTACAGGCATGAGCCACTGAGCCTCACATACTAAGAATTTTCTTGACTCTTCCACTCTCAGAAGCAGCCAGAGACTACATGACAGCTTAACACACTGAAAGCAGAAGACAATCTATCTATCCAACTGACTACTACTATACCAAACATGGTGTCGATTTGTAAAAACATAAAACAATGCCATGCTTCTAGACTTTTATTTTGGAAAACATAGTTAAATTTCCTGGAAATATGTGTTAGCATGTAATGGGTTTATATATAGATAGATAGATATATACATATATATTTGTGTGTATGTATGTACATATGTATATGTGTGCCAGTGTTGAACTGGAGGCCTGGGTGCTGTCCCTGAGTTTTTTTTGCTCAAGGCTAGTGCTCTACCACTTCAGCCACAGTTCTACTTTGGCCTTTTGGGTGGTTAATGGAGATAAGAGACTCATATACATACTTTCCTGTCTCCAACTGGCTTCAAACCACAATCCTCAGATCTCAGCCTCCTGAGAAGGTAGGACTATAGGCATGAGCCACAGGTACCTGGTGGGTTTGTTTTATTAACTTCTACATGTCTTCCTTATAAAATATATTACTGACACAAAGAGAGAAAGAGAAAGAGAAAGAGAGAAGGAAGGAAGGAAGGAAGGAATCTTGGAATTTAAAATACAGCAGCATACCTAAGACTTCATCTGTTCAAATGCCACAAGTTTCAATCTCAGACATGAACTTTATGATCTCAATAGCCTGACACCTCTTAACTGTGACTGTTAACTCATGAACCCAGTTCCCAGTGCTGCTTCCCAAGTCATTCTGGGGGCCTGGTGGGGGTGGGGGAGGAGGGTAGAATGATAGTTCCTCCAACCCCCAAGATCCTTCTCTGCCCTGCCAACAACACTGGAAGGACAGCATGGTGTGGCATGCCTATGCCCTGAACTCCTTGGCTTCACTCCAAGTTCCCAGAAGGGTGGGAAAATGTCTGGGGCCACCCTGGGGACTTGTTCCCTTACAAACAGCACCTTGCTACAGTCTGGTTGGCTGGCTCTGTGTCTGTCTTTCCCACCCCTAGCAAGCAGCCCACAGATCCATCAGAGGAAACAGGAAGCAGTCCAAGGAACACAATTTCTGTGTGGATTCATATCCCACTGCCCAGAACTAGAATCCCTAGGACAGGACTCTAGCAGTCAAACCCCATGTGACCTCACTACAGACAACCTGAGTATTCTCACTGTTTTCTGGGGGTGGAAGAAGGTATTGATATTGCTTTGTCTATATTATACACATTTCAGGTAGATACAGGCTGAGGTTAGATAAAACTCTGGCCCTGCCTTTCAAATGTGAACACCATCTACCCACCCATGACTTGGTACCTATTTATTAAGTGTCCCTGCCACCGTTGCTTCCCCTTGAGAAGGAGGACCCACAACAGACCCTCCAAAGTCCCCAGGACACCTTAAGGATATAGGCTAACAAGATAGCAGCACTTGGGTCTTTACTGATATTCCTATTCAGGAAAAAAAAAAGTGTCTAAATAAGACACATGGGTTTCCCTCTGAGAATAAAACTGTGAGTCTCATAATAATGAATCAGTGCAGAGATAAGCAAAATCAATCACTTTCTACTAGTCTAAAATCAGATCAAACACCTTAACATTATCTCAAAGATGTCAGAGCCTTGGGTGGGACTGGGGGGTGGGGCAGGTACAGAGGATGAACCAAGAAAGCCTAAGAAGAGGATTTCTCAACTTAAGCACAAGATGAGAGTGTCTAGCCTAGCACCACCCCCACATGAGAGGGTGTAAATGGGCACCTCAGGTCTTCTCAATCTGTTTGCTAATAAATCCAGGCACAAGAGAAGCCCCATGGTTTTAATAAGTTTGGCCAACAGTGAATATCAACTCTCTAGGAAACTTGTAAACCACAATAGCGTATTAAAGACTCGGATACATTCTGAAATAAAGAACTGTTTCACTTTGAACTCAATGGTTTCCAAATCCTTTTGCCCACACAATTCTTCCCCTTATAGGAGAGCCATTAACAGCCCCAGGACTGGTATACTTCCACAGAATCACTGAATTCTCTTCCTCATTCAGCATTAGAGTTAGACTTTCTGCAGAGCCTGTCCCCAGAGTTACAGGTAAAGCATACAGTCTCTAAAACCAGCTGTCCCAGCATCCATCTACCTGAGACTTGAACTGGCATACTGACTTAACCAACACTTGCCAGCTCTTGGTTACCTCTGGCTCTCCCCAAATGACAGGTACCTTTCACATGCCAACATAGTGCTTTTGAACTGGGAGTCATTTTGTCTTGAGGGGAGAGGGGAACTAGGTAATACTTGAAGACTACTTCATTGTCACAACTAGAAGGAAAGTACTACTGTCATCTGGAGGGAGGAGGCCAGGAGAATTTGTTCAACATGCTATAATGCACAGAACAGACAGGACAACAGAGCTACACGGTTAATATCAATGGCGCTGAGGTCAGAAGCCTGACAAACCCATGATTTGGGTCTGCAAGGTTGAAAATTTTGGTAAAGTCACCAGAATACTGAATGCCACCCTAAACAGATTCTTACCAACCAGATGTGGTGTGGGCCTCTCCAAAGGACCAATCGCTTTGCTTCTTTTAACATCTACAAGAGATGCTACCTGGGGCTGGGGTACAATGCCCATCATCCAAAGAGTAAGTCCAGAATACTAGAGCACAATCCTCTTAGCAACCACCAGAGGACATTTCTGATAGTTGACTCTTATTTGCTTCCTCCCCCTAAATGACCACCCTGCACTCTGCAAGGGCAGAGGCAAGTGGGTCCTTACCCTGAGGGCCTGGCGTAGAGGCAGAAGCCAATAATGCCCTCCTACACAGGCCATGTCCACATATTAAATGCCTTCATCATTACAGATACAAACTGTGAGAAAAGACATCCCAAGATCCTCTTCCCACCGTCAACACAGGTTACAGAACCAGAAGGGACACATGATGTCCCATGGGACCTGCAGACAGACAGACAGACAGACAGACAGACACACACACACACACACACACACACACACACACACACAGAGCACACATATGCTCCAGAAGGGCACTCCAGGCAGGTTTCCTAATGGAAGTAAAACTCTCTAAAGTATGAATCTCTACCTAGGCACATGTACTCAGGTGCAGAAATGGGTGTGTGGGGTGGGGATGATTGATGGGGTTGGTAATTGGCTATCCTGTAATGGCTCCAGCCAGGGGCAGTGGGGTGGGGATCTGCTGAGGAACATTAGGTGGTGCTCTGCTCCCAGTGGAGACAGTGGGAAAGTGATGTGAACTTCATAGTGCCTGAGAGGCCAAATCTGTGTTGCTGCCAGCTTGGCCTTTACCTAGGACATGGCTGGTGTGAAATCTGCCAAGACAGCATGGCTGACTTCTCTATCACACAAGGTCCAGGCCAGGTGAACTTCCAAGAAGTTCAAGTATAACAAAAGTTATCCTGTGGCCACAGAATGACAGAAACCAGACCCTAAAAAGATAGTGCTTCTTTGCCAAAAGAGTGGCCTCTCAATCTCCTTGGGAAAATGAGTCTGCAGAAGGTGTTGTGTTACTTCCCAGGAGGGTGTAAGACTGGGTCTCCACTGGCCTAGAGTCTGCAGCCCTCCCCCTGGCGCTGCCCAGCTGTGAGTGATGAAACTCACCCAGCACACTGAGGCTTTGGCGATGTTGCGCTTCTGCCAGACCTGCCTTTTCATCTTGGCCTTCAATAAGCAGGACAAGAATTCAGAAAAAGGCATTTCAGAGCCAAAGCTCACGAGGAGAGGGAAACAGAGAGAGGGCATGGAACGACTTCCTTGCACATTTGGTACAGTTAGCAATCTGACAATTTAGCAACTTGTAAGATTTATATAAAACATCTAGGGGAGTGAGCAGTGTGAAGTTCAAGTAGTAGAGCAGGCCCTCAGTTCAAACCCCAGTACTGCACCCCACAAAAAAAAACCTTCAAGAAAATGTGTTGTTAACACTTCAAAGCTGAGCCCTGAAATCAACAGCACAAAGCATGTGACACCTGTGGAAGGTTTCTTGGAGGCACCAGCTGCTCCGACTGGGCTGATTGTCCTTCTATTTATACATTCAGAATCCTGGCCAGGGAAGGCAAAGGGGACTGGGCAGGAAATGGAATCATCTTTGTAAGGAAAACTGTTAAGCTTATTCGTTTTGAGTATACAAGATTACTTTCAATTGTCAAAATCTAATTTTCTTTATGGCAGCATGGGGTTTGAATTCAGTACCTCACACTTGGTAGGCAGGTGCTCTACCACTTGAACCATATCTTCAGTCTTTTTTGCTTTACCTAGTTTTCAGATAGGGTCTGGAAATAATGTTGCTTAGATGGGCGTCTGACCAGGAACCTACCATCTCTGTCTCCATGTAGCTGGGATAAAAGGTAAGCACCATCACACCTAGTTTGTTCTTCAAGACAGGAGCTCAATAACATTTTTTTCCTCAGGTAAAAAAAGATCCCTCTATCTCTACCTCCTAAGTAGCTGAAATTACAGATATGAGCCTGCAGTTCCAAACTCAGTCCCAAATCTTAACATTGTTGAGCTTAATTTGAAAATATATATGAGAAAGTAATAAAATTTTGAAGACATTTTCTTAAGCAGAAAAAGATAGCTAATGAATGCAGACATGGATGGCTGACTTATCAACTAAGTACAACACAGTATCTAACTGGCATTCCTTCACTCAGGTCCAGCTCCTTCCTGTGTAATGCCCAGACTCTACTTAGGACAGCAAGGTTCCTGTGGCATCAGCCCTGACCTGTGAAATCAGGAAAGGAACCCTTCCCAAAGCTTTCATGCTGTCTAGGCCCATATTCAATAAAAGTCATGAATAAGAGACAAGTAAAGAAAAATAGGTAGGAAAAGAAAGGACTCGCAGGTTTCAAAAGTTACCTTTTGAAGTTGTGTTGGTTTAGCAAGTAAAACTCAGCTGAGAAAGTGGTCCAACCCTGAGAGCAGAGACCTTTGGGCTACAGGCAGAAGGAAATGGTTGAAGTGCTTTGAGATGAGAGGTATCAAAGGGGACAGAGCAGAAAGGGGAGGAAAAGGACTTCAGTTTACTTTTAGTTTATACTACTCCACCTTTCCCAAGCCATCAGACCCCACCAAAACACCTTGCCCGAAAAGAAGAGATAGTTAACAAAGTCACCCAAGAAAGCAACTCATGCAGTGAGCAGAGGTAGCAAATAGCAAGAAAAACGGAATGACAGGAGACAGAGGAGGGAGAAATAAGATGATACCAACTACACTGGCGCAGGACATGATGACATGACAAGATAACATGAGCCACCAGGAACCAGGAAGGGCATTTGACTCAGCACAGGAAGCAAAGTATCACACTACATTGATTAAGACCTAGACTCATCGGTTCTGCCACTGAGAAGCTGAGTGGCCTTGAGCAAGGTGGTTGATGTCCAAGACTCCTGTCTGTCAGAAGGAGACAACACGGCCCTAAGGTGTGCAGGAGGACAAAGCATCTGAGCATCCACAACCCTCTTCTCTTCATCCCTCATCACTTACTTCTGAAACAGATTCACCTCTTGAGAGTCTACCAGCCTTCTATAAGACACTTAGTGAAAAATCCCACAGGAGGAACCAAGTGTTCAACAGGGATGAGCTAGATTCTCCTGCTTCTCAGAAGCTCACACCTGTAATCCCTGCAACTCAGGTAACTGTGAGATATGAAGATTACAGTCCAAAGCCAGCCTGGGCAGAAAAGTCTGTGAAATTATTTTTTTTAACTACCAAAAAAGCAGAAGCGGAGCTGTGGCTCAAGTGATAAAACACCAGCCATGAGAAAAATAGCCAGACAAAAATGAAAGTCCCTGAGGTCAAAAGAGGAGGAGGAGGGAAGAGAGGAGGGGGAAGAAGAAGAAGAAAAAGAAGAAGAAG